TACAAATTAGTTTCCATAGTACCATTCATAATTACTTTTCAAATAAAAAAAAGAATTTTTAAATATTAATAAAAATTCTTCCTGGACATGCATCAAAAGAAAATTTGCAAATTCACGTAAACAATTCTACAACATAATGAGAATGTGATCACCTCTGATATTGATATTGTATTTAATCAAAGAAAAAACTTATTTGACAAAAATGAAAAACTGTCGTTCAAACACTAATTTGGTTATAGGAGTGCAGAAATGAATCCCTCCGATATTTAAATAAACTTAAGCCGGCCATTTCAACAAGTCTGGTTAATATTCCATGAATAATTTATAAAAAATGTGCAGTTTCTCTGAATCTTACTCTATTTTTAATTTATAAGAACATTATGAAATCTGACCTTAACCCCAAAATTTGGAAATTGTCTCATATAATTCCCATTCATAAAAAAGGAAGCACCTATGATCCTTTAATTATAGACCTATTAACCTAACATGCGTTGGTAGCAAAGTACTCGAAAGGTTGATTTGCATGCAACAAATTGCTTACTTATCTTGAGGCCAATAATTTCATATCCTCCTATCAGCTTGATTTTTATGCAAAAAAATCTTTTTCATAAATATCGGCTAACCTTTCCGATTGGTCAGCATCAATTGACAATGGAAAAACAGTTGTGACCTAGATTTGGCCAAAACTTTTGATATTATTTCTCATAGTATGTTGTTGTTCACTCTTGATAGTTATGGCATTACAAGGGACCTATATAACGGGGTATCAGATTACATTAAGATCATCACCAGGCTGTATGTGTCAATAACATTCTTTCTGACACAACACCCTGTTAAATCTGGTGTTCCCCAAGGTATTTATATTGCGCCATTGCTTTTTCTATTGCATATAAATGATATCTTCTTCTTCTTCTTAAGAGTCCTCACCATTACTGGTTAAACTTGCTCCACTGGCTTGTCGCATTGAGCAATATGCCAGGGAGTTCCTCGGCGATAGATGTACAGGTGAGTCGCCACCATCACCCGGATTTTTGTACAGGTTTGCTCCTGCGGGGAATCGAACAGCAGCTTTGGCTGTTCCAAATTGAGCAACCCACTGAGCCATCCTATCCCCATATAAATGATATAACCAAAGTGATATTAAATTCTACCATCTATCTTTATGCTGATGATTAAAATTTATAAAATTTATTATTAAAATTTATAAAATTTATTATTTATTATTAAATGTAAAATTTATTATTCTCATGGCAGAAGCGATAGCCTATCTCCACTGCAGTAGGACCTGAATAGAATAGCTATGTGATAGGCAAATTACCCTTTCCTTTCAAAAATGTAGCGTTCTTCATAATTCTAAAGGATTCGATGTTCGTAATTTCGTAATCTTTTTATCAATGGTAATAATTAGTCTCAGAGTCATTTTGACATTTCCGATCTTGGACTAATCATGGATGAAAATCTCGATTTCGACCCTCCATGGTAACGAAATCTTCAAAGACACTAAATTTTATTTTTCTTTCGTTTATGAAAAAACTGAAGACTTTCTTATTAAAATATACAAAGCGTTCATTCGGCCACTTCTTGACTACAATGGTACATGTTACTCCCCGAGATATCGTAAATCAAGTAAAACGATTGAAAGATTCCAAAAATATTTTGTATAAAATATTTTGTAAATATTTTGATGCCTCTCTCCTAATTGCAATTTTAATTATAAAAGAAAACCTCTAAAATATAACCTAGATTCTCTCTCAGTTCGTCGTATTAAACAAGATTTAAGATTCTTATAAGATACTTATAAGATTCTGTATGGTTATGGTTATTTAGATTGTTCAAAATACTATAATTTTAGGCTAAATTTGAATCCAACAAGAACTAATGGGCTAAAATTACTAAAACCTATGTGTAAAACTAAACTAAGGACTCATGATTTCTTTATTCGTACTATAAATTACTGGAATAAATTGCCGAACGATATAGATTGTGCGCCATCCCTAGCTATCTTTAAAAAAAGGATAATATCATTTATGATATTATTTAAAAAATTCACATCATTCAGGAAGTCTCGACTTTTCCATCTGACTATAATGCTTCGAATTATACTATATTATATTATTCTGCAATTTTCTTTTTATTTCCTCTTTAAACTATTTGTCATATTTTCTATTTTCCTTGTTATTAAATTTTATTATTTGTTTTTTTTAACTGTTGTTATTAATACAAGCACATAGCGTTTTCGCTCTCCTTGACTGGTTTTCAATAAATAAATAAATTTGAATGAATAAATATCTAATTTTTTAAAATATCCATTCTTTAACATTCTTTTTTTGTTTGTTTTTCGCTATTTTTTCTTTCTTTAGTGAAAAATTCTTAGAAGATAAAAAATGAAAAATTGGTATGCTTGTTAACAAAAATGTGCTACCATATTTAGTACCAATCAGCTATATCAATAATATTGGTCACCCTTGGATTCATTGAAGATGACCAGTTGCAAGACAGTAATTTTATATATGTACATATATATATATATTATTAATATATATATGTACACATATATATTATTATACATATATACATATATTATAATATATATATATATAGATGAAAAAGAATTATGAAACTAGATGTATGAACTAAACTAGATTATTTATATCCTTTATAAAATTATATCCAAAATAAAAATTCAATTATAAAATAAAATAAAAAATGTTTTTTTTTATAACGAAATTTTTTTTCAATTTCCATGAAGCATTTTGTTATTTTTCAGCACCCATTTTGTATTCACTTAATCTTGCCACTAATAGTCCATTGATATGTCACTTTCGTAACGTTCTCTACTTCAAAGGAATGATTATGCCAAGAAAAATATTTGAAAAAGGCATGACTGCGTTCAATTTTGGTTCCAGCGTTGGATATATATTATTTTGCTTAAATTAAGTTAGATTAAATGAAAACAAATTTCGAAACCATTTACTCTCGGATATGATCAAAACAAAGATTAATTACTAGTTATACTGAAAATTAATAATTAACAATTATCTGAAATCATTTAAAATTTAAGCTTGTGTCTGCTTTCATATGTTTATTATTGTTTCAGTAGGACAAATTTTTTCTTATATATTCTACAACTATAACAAAGATGTAATTTATATGCAACGAAAATATAAGATATATGCATAAATTTCCATTTCAACTGGTTTCACTGGAATTGTCCTCTTCTTCTAACAGCCCTCACCATTACTGGTTAGCCTCGCTCCACTGGCTACAAGGATAAGACGCTTCCAAGCGGTGCGATCTGATGCCATCGTCGACAGTTAGAAATCATCCTCTAATTCCATATATTGCTGGTCCAGCTATACGTTCAAAATCTTTCCTAACCATATCAGTCTAATCACGATAACTGTCTACACTCTTTTAAATATAGTGTGAATGCTTCTTGCATATCGGAAGTCCACCTTCCTCACGAATGTCAGAAATTTTTGATAACAATACATACGATTTTAAAGGACCTTAGCAAAAGCAAGTATAGTTTTTTCGAAAGAATGTTAAGAATATAAGAATAATAATAATGAAATTCACATGAAAAAAGAAAAAAAATTCATAGAAATGATCCAAATGCGACAATTAGGCCAACAACAATAATGCTCAATAACTACAGCAGTCTACATTTGATTTCAAAGATTTTAAACCAATTTAAAATCCTGACTACCGGATGCTTCCAGGAATTGCAACGACAACAGTACAGAATTGAAATCTCTATTGGAGTAAGATGGCCTTGAGAATGGAGACGGCAGCTCGATTAGGTGATAATGAGGAACTATTCCGTCTTCTTCATGAAGCAGCTATTAGGGAACGATGAAATGGTTAGGGATAGCAATGGTGTTCCTATCAAAAGTATTAAAGAATGCCTCGTAAAATGGAAGAAATCCACTGAGATAGAATTTAACCATAATAAGCCACCTGCTGCTCCGGATATAGTTGATTCGTCGAACCATATGTTTGCAACTGCGAACTGCCAACAGAAAAGAAAATGCTGTTATCCATAAGTTTAAAGCCAATAAAACTACTAAAGAAGATGGTCATCAGATCGATCTCTTCGTATTACTCATCATCATTCATAACCTTTAACAAATGTACTAGTGCCTGGTATGAAAGAAAGAAATAATCAGATGACTGGAGCAAAGCAGCTCAAAAGAAATTTGTATTGACTAATTCCAAATAGCCAATGTGTATTTTCGATTATTCTTTTTTTGACCTCGTATTGTTGATATAATTCTTCCAACGAAAACTCCTGACTCTGTGGTAATAAAATTTCGTACTTCACCCAGGAGTTAGTTTTGTTATTGCTGGTTGCGCGTTTTTCGTTGACCTTGTCGTCATATTCTCTGCACCAAAAAATTTTTTGTTGGAAAAGAATGTTTTTGAGACAATGAATAACAATATTTATTAAATACAGTTCACGATAATAAATGAAAATGATTATTTAATAAGTTCGAAGTTAAGGCAAAATAGTTAATAACCAAAAAAAGGGGATGAAGCAAGGCGAAGGCGAATTTCGATCTTACAAATCCAACACTAACGGAGTTTTCTTTTGCCAATCTGAGTGGTTCTTCCAAAACATTGGTAGACCAAAAACTACATAAAAATTTGTTTATTTTTAATCAAAAGGAAATATTTTCATAATTGTTGTTTTGATTTGATTGATTATATTAATAAGATGTTTTACAAATTAATTAACAGATGCGTGAATTAAGAAAAAAGAAAAAAAAAACAATTTTGTGGTTTGCATATTATTGAGGCTTTGTTAAAAATTAGTTGCTTTTCCCTTTTTGAATTTTAAAAAGGCTTTATGAATTCTTACCGTTATTATTATTTTGTTCCTTATTTTCGGTCTTTCCCGACAAAAGGTATAGGATTGCGAGAATTATCGAGGAATAAGCCTACTGAACATTTTTGCTTCCTTACTATTCAAGAGATTTATGGCAGTACAGCACAACAGAATGTGCCCTGAACAAGCTGGATTCAGACCATGGCGTGGTTGTGCTGACCAGATATTCACGTTAGAACATCGCTTTGCTACCTGTCACATTGTCACGTGTTTCATCGACTTTGTGGCTGCCTTTGATTCAATTGATAGAGGGGCGCTTTGGTGGATGATGGAACGTGACGATGTTTCAGAGAAAATCATTAGACTCATAAAGGCAGTTTATGAGCGCATGTCGGCAAAGGTCTGTGTATATGGGGAATTGACAGAATCCTTCGAAATGAGAACTGGTGTCCTTCGAGATTGTGTCCTTTCCCCTACAATATTTAATTATGCGATAGACTTAGTAATGGACATCGCTTGTCGACATTCAAGAAGTGTACAAATCAGTTCAAAGCATCGTTTCACAAATCTTAAATACGCTGATGATATAGTTCTTTTTGCTGATAGTTATGACGAAATGCAAGTAATGCTAAATAGCGTGTCAGAAACTGCAGCAAAAATCGGACTCAATGTAAACAAAACGTATTTCGTCTTATTTACTAGAAGTCGACAAAATGCCTATTTTTATCAATTCATTGCCGGTCGAGGAAGTGCCCGACTTGAAATACCTTGGGTTCTCTAATACCAGGGCCAAGCAAAAGATATTATAGCCCGGATCAAAGCAGCTAGAAATGCATTCTTCCGGTCGAAACCTTTATGGAGTGAAATTACCATTAAAATCCGCATCTATATAGCCGTGATTCGTTCGATCTTGCTATATGGTTCTGAGATATGGCCAATGAGAATGGAGAATTAAGAAGCTATTTACCTTTGACCACTTTTGTCTAAGATATATTTTACGGGTCCGTCGAACGGATAAAATATTACGTGATTGCATCAATCTTCGTTCAAATGCCACTTGCATTAATAATATTATTACAGAGTGTCGCCTTCGATGGTTATGGCACATTCTCCATCGTCCACCACAAGAGTTGACGCATACTTCGTTATTTGCTAAACTGAGTAATAGATGGCGTCAAAAGCGAGGTGGACCAATCAAGACCTGGATTGACACGGTCAGAAAAGATTTTGAATGTATAAGTGGACCAGCAATATATGAACTTAGACGATGGAAAAAGGAATGGCTTCTATTATTACTAGTGATGGCGTCGGATCGAGCAGTTTGGAGACGTCTTACTCTCATAGCCAGCAAAGCCAGCCTGACCAGTAATGGTGAAAGCTGTTAGAAGAAGAAGGAGAAGTCTGTCAGTTTCCGATAGATACGCTGATAAAATTCCTTTATGAGCCGAATAATCTTATCTGGAACACCACTGCGTACCATCATCTTCCAAAGTGCCGTTCTATCAAACTGAATCGAAGGCAGCCGTAAAATCTATGAAACAGGCACAATGGGTTGCAAATATTCGATATTCGATGTGCCAACACCCTTCTTAACGTGAATATCTGGTCAATACAACTGTGCTCTATCTAAATCTGGCTTCCTGTTGTCTCGTACTTTATTGTCTTAAGTTTATTGAGCAGAAAGGTGATGGAAATCTTCCCGAAGATGTCTAGTAGATTGATTTCTCGATAATTGTTAAAGTATGTCCTGTCACCTTTCTTGGAAATTGTGAGCGACATTGCTAAGGTATTAAATTCATCAGAAATCCTGTTTATTTAATTAAATTAGATTTAAATTCTAAATTTTAGAAATTTTTGATGAAAAAATAAAATTTTCTAAAATATTTGGTTTGTTTTGGTTTGAAATTTAGGTTCAATATATCATAATAGCAATAAATTTCAGGCGTTTATGAGGAATTATATTCGTTGCGCAAAACCACTCAACGTGATTCTCATTTGCCTTCTCATCGACATGCTGGATTTATTATTATAAGTTTCAAAGTACTTGATGGTCAAACCAATGTAGGTTTTTAATATGCTTTCATTTTTTTCGTCATTTATTCAAATCTGATAGTCAACATAGACCCTTAATTTGAGAGAATGGGCTTTGGTCATTCTATAATTATTAATAAATCTTCAGCAGGTTCTTGATGTTGTCCACTCATGCCCATCAATATTGAAATTTGTTAATAGTATTGATAATTGGAATTATTTAACCAAGTTTCGAGGAACTTACGAATTTCCTATATTATTAGTCATATTCTTTTTATATGCATTTATTGCTTGCATTTGCACTTATTTGAATTAAAGAATTAAAGAAATTTTTGCATTTGAAAAATTTTGTGGACAACATTGAGAAATATCCTTTGCTTTGACTAAAATCATGCAAACATCAAATGAGTTTGATTCTTGTCTCTCTTGTGATAATAAAGAGTGAATCTGTTAAAAAAGAAATCTGGGTGATGGTGCAAGTAGTGATGACCATACTCATACTTCTATCTTCGAATGATTCTTGAAAGAAAGGGCTTTAACCTAGCAATCACTGGAGCCCCTAGAACCAGAAATGGTAAACACTATTGGAAAAATAATCTAAAAGTCTAAATGCTTTATCGACATCATTCAAATGAAGATACGGAACATAAGAAATTTATTATTAGTTTGATTAATAGAAATTGTTTAGATAGAAACTTTGCTAAAAATTTTGATTTGTTTCGATATAATTTTGAACAATGAAATTCAGCTTCAATCGTTAGAGAAATCTTGGTTAGCATGGACAGGCGCTCGAGAAATATACAAATATTCACCAAGAAACTGGAATTTAAGACAAATTTCATTTTTGCGACTTGCTGAGAATAAGTTTAACTTCTTTTACTATTTTTTTTAAAATTTTTTATTCTGAAATGAATTTTCTAAAATTTTCCATTCCATTCAAAGAAAAAAATTTCTTATGACAAAAATGCTTCTAAGTTTGTTAGAAATGTTCGCTTAATACAGATTAGTTAAGGAAACTGTACTTACTTGTCGGCTAAAATCAAGAGAAGAGTTCAAAAAAGTGCATTTTCAACTTAGATTTTCATTGGAGCTTTATTGGAGCTAAAAAGGTTTTTTCACTGGAAAAAAACTTCAATGTTTATTGAATGCATATTGCTGCATGTACCAGTTACTGAAAGAATGCCAGCGATAAGCCGATATGGCTAAAATATTTCTCTTAGCACATTGACTTCTTTTTAGGAAGATTTCGATAAATTAGATATCATTTTTTGAATTTATGGGTCACATTTTAATTTGAAAAAAATCTTCAACAATTATTTATGCAGTTAAATTAGTTTCATAGGAAAAAATGTATCAATGAAATTAGTGGAAAATATTTATGATAAAATTTTTTCCAGAAATCTAGTCGGTCGTCCATTTCCATATGTAGTTACATGCGAATTTGGAACAATTTTTCATCCATCCAATAGATTGAAAGCAATGGATCTATGTGAGAGATTACGCATCCGCAACTGTGGATATATTTCCTTGTATCAGGTTTTTTTTTTCTTCAATTAGTTCCTAGATATACCATAATTTTTTCATTTTCTTTTTAATTATCCATCTTTCTAAACATATGAAGTTTTATCGCATCAAAAGCAGTATTGTAAAATCTCTTTTTCGGATTTCATATGAGCAAAATTAAACAACGGAACGAATTTGATGATTAAATGACAAATCATAAGTAAATAAGTGATCGAGGTTTTTTTTAGGTTCAAGGATCATTTGCAAATAATCATATCGGAATTACACCTAATAAAGATTCAAATAAAAGTGGACGTAGAACAATGCTTCGTGGTTTCTCTTTAGATGTTAGTCTTTCAAATATCTCATTTCTAAATCAGTCCATTAGAGTTTTCGAATAAAGAAATTTCTTAAAATTTTGAATCTATTAAATTAATTAACTTTCTCAAATTATCAACATTTAACTTAAAACATTAAATTTAAAACATTAAATAATTGGAAGAGTGAATTTGTCATTAAGGTTACTGAAGCTGGAAACAGCAGTCGGCGTCATAAAAGTCCGAGATTGCACGGTCGCAATCGGTCAATCATTTATAATCATGAAGAGAATTGTTCGTATCCATTTAGCAGTCACCACGACTTTTTCCACTTTTAAAATACCATCTTCGATGTACCGATTTCCATATTTTGTAATATGTTACTTTCATGTATAGCTCTAAAGGACTTTTTCATTTTATCAGTTGTCATTGCGATTAGTCATTCTGAAGAACTGCGATTCAAAAGTATTTGTGGAAAACAAGAAAATGCTGTATTTATTGTGATCTGAGTTGATAAATAAATAATTAATAGGCAGCACAAGTAATTTTCATTTAGATTCTTAGATTTTCTATGTAAAACATAACTAAGAAATGGAAATGTTGATAGTATTTCATTGCATTAAAATTGCCTCTAAGCCAAATTTTTTAAATAAAAGGTTGAATGCCAAAACTATTTGGTTATTGCATTTTCTTGCAATTTCCTTTCGACCATTTTTTCTATTCGCAACTATCTATTAAAGAAAGCAAATCTGTAAATGGCGGTATCTTTATTTCCTCATATTGCCCTTCATTTATACAATAATCTTTTTGTAAAAGTACAAATGACGTTGTGGCAAAGATGTTTTATTCAAACAGCAAGTAGAGCCAACAAAGCAGATATGATAAGACTTTTGAAAAAAGACTAAAGCAAACAAGTTGCGAAAACAAGTTTTTCACGAAAAAACGAAAAAGTCAAATTTTTTTGCGAAGTTACTGAAATGCTTTAATAATCATATTAACTATCCTTCATCTAGTTTTTTCTTTTTGTTTCAAAAGAAGCAATTCAACAAAACAGTTCAAAATGAATTTCCTTTAAAGCAGATTTTGGTTACTGTGAAGTATGAAATTTTGCAAAAAAAAGTTAATTTTTCACTTTAGGTGATCGAATTCAGTTTTGAGAATCGAAAAAACTGTAGAAGACTTGTAGAAGACTTCACATTTTAGAAATAAACTTTCAGAAGACTTCACATTTTAGAAATAAACTTTAAAAAAACCTTAAAAAATTTAATGATACAGTCAGGGAAGATTTTGAACGTATAGATGGACCAGCGATATATGGTCTTAAGATGGAAAAAGAAATAACTTCTATTACTGTCGACGATAGCATAAGATCGCGCCGCTTGGAAACATCTTATTCTTTTAGCTAGGAGCCAGCCTAACCAGTAATAGTGAGAGTTGTAAGAAGAAAAAGAAACTAACAATTAATTTCAATAATATAATTTCAAAAATTTATTGAACTGATCTTTAATTTAAAATCTCCAAAATCCTGTAAATACTTGAGTTGTATATTACTTCAACTGATTTCAAGTGTTATGGGCTCAATTCTTCTTATTAGACGAGAATAGACCAGTTATTAAACATATTATTTCTACTTAATAATCTGATCTCTATGTGATTTGATAACTATAGGAGCCTCATGTTTGGAAAGCGTATATCATCTCTATTATTTGGTCTTTTTGCCCTAGTAATCGACATTGCCAGATAGAAATTATCACTGCTTTTAGAAACAGAATCATCAAATGAATGCGATAGAAGACGACTTTGCGCAACTTTGCATTGACAATGATACTTCTTCTAGTAAAAATTCTTAAATATTTATTGCTGTTTGTTACCTGTATGAATGTCAATCAGCATAGTGACATCAAGTGAATGAGCAGTATTTAATGAGCGAATGTATCTAAGGAAAGCGAATATCATTTCTATTATTTACTGTCCCGTATACATTGCTATTTAGAGTTGGAAGGCCTAACTCGTAAAAATAAGGTAATCTTTTTGTAAAAGTATTATTTTTTTCATCTTGTATCATCTATCTCCAAATGACGTTGTGGCAAAGATGTTTTATTCAAACAGCAAGTAGAATAACCTCAACCTAAAATTAATTGTTCAGTGGATTTCTTTACTTCATTTGATATGATAACTTTTCTAGTTTTTTTAATTGTGCCAGTTTTCTTCAGTAAAAATTACTTTCTTCAGTAAAAATTAATTACTTAACGCCCATTGATAATTCTAAGAAGATGGTTTATAAGACTTATAACCTGGAATTTAAACACTTAATTGATGAAAAAAAAATCTTATGATCTAAAATTAAGCTACATATAATGTGCAGTTTATCTAAAATGAAATAAGCTTAAGAGCTTAAAACATTAATAATGTTAACAATTGAAGTGTATTTTACAAAATCAGAAAAGAAGGCACTACTGATTGACCATTATTGGCAAATTAAGATAAATGATTTCGGTTTGAAAAAAAATTCGATATTTCGAATCATGGAATGATTAGAATCCTTGACACAACCTTTTTCTTTCTAATTTAAACATATTTGTCACGTTAAATTAAATTAATAAATTAATAAACAAGATCATAAATGTAACTAGCTAATTTTGCAGAGATGTTATGTATGGTGCCAGAAAATCTAAAAGGAAATGATCTGGTTCAAGAAACGAAGATATTGCTGCCATATGTTCAGAAATTGTTTCTGGCTAACTAACTTGTAATGTCGACATGGAATTCGATAAAAATCTTGAAAAAGATAAATTATTTAGACTTAATAACTTATCAAAAATTGGAATAGAATCAACAATCCTTACATAGTTGCCATTTATTAATTAAAAATCCGTTGCACTTATCTCTCCTACCATCATCTCTCCACTTTAATCATTAATGGCTATATTCATGCATTTAACTTAATATACTTGTACCAAATATAGGAGGATTCAAAATAGATTGGCATGAAATTTCGTAAATAAATAATTTGACTTACTTTTGAATAAATTTGAATAAATAAATTGATAAACTGAGGGATCATTCAATGGCATTCAATGGTGAAGAATTAAGCCATTCATAAAATTCGATAGAAAATTACATTCTAAGGCTATGAAAACATTAATAACCATGCAAATCAGAAAAAAAAATTTTTATGAAAAGTAACAATCACTATAATCAAAAGGAGAAGTTATCGACTAGAAATTGACGCTAGATATACAACTACAAGAATTAAGCAAGAATTAATGAGTAAATTTTTTACTAATTATTAAAGACTTATCAGACTTGAACATGCGTTTTTGCCTTTAAACTTCTTTTTCCTCATTAGTTCCATGAAGCCATCTGGTCCATCCACTGAAACGATTTTTTTCAAACAATCTTTGACCGGATTATAGAAGTGAAACAATTTTTAGGTGCACAGCTAGCAAAAATCATTTATTGAAGCAATCATTCATTAAAAAGGAAAATTTAATGCAAAAAAGACCGGCTTTTTATTGTTAAATAAATTTTATTTCATCAATTATAATTTGTTTCAATTTTTGGTAAATGTAGGAGGATTCAAAATAGATTGGCATGAAATTTCGTAAAAAAATAATTTGACTTACTTTTGAATAAATTTGAATAAATAAATTTCTTACCATTCTTAGGTGAAATAAATGAGCGAATAAATGGTTACAATCATAATTAACTAGATAATATTAATTATATAATTAGTACACATATCGATCAAGAATGGTTATTCTTAGATCATCATTAGCATCACTTGATTGAATGTTAGTAAATTCTAGCTTTTTGCTAATTAAAATCTATATATCATAAGGTAATCACTGAAAATATTAAAAAAAATTTAACTAATCATCTAAGCAATGTCGCGAATAGCGAACCAAATTAATAAAACAAAATAAATTATTCGAATTGTAAATAAATGTTATGAAATCACGTAACGGATTTCAACATTCCTAAAGTTATTTTTTAATGTGTTTTTTTGTGTTATCTTGATTTAATTTTCTAAATTCACATCCTCTTTTTTATGGCTAAAAAACTAATTTACATGTAAAATCTTTTATTTTATGACCAATCTTATTATAATTTATACTGTAATCAGATTTTTTACAGTTTTTTCTGTTATTCAAATGAACATCTATCGCAATATTTGTTATAAACGACTCCCACTAAATATGTTTTTGTGTTAATCGGAATTCTAGAAATATTCATGTGTGAGATGTAAACTCAAATTATTATTAATAAAGTCCTTTGTTCTTCAACCTCTTCGAGGGAACTACGCCTCGTCTTGTTAATCTACTGTGTCAAATTCAATCTACTAAATCAAATTTCTTTATAAGCAACTATTCTAATGTGTACAGCTCAACAATGTCATTATTTACGAGCTTCAGTGCTATTGCATATTTTTTGTCAGCAATAATTTCATTATTTAAGTTGAATGCGTAAGTTCCAGTTTCTTTTTTTACATTGATCTTTAATAGATTATCACTGATTTTTGCATTTGATCAACAATATTGGAAATTTTTTTAAAAGATTGCTTAGCATTTTTAGTTAGGTTCGGCTAACCTGTCGAATTTGACAAATCTTGCCAGTGAATCGCTTAATGATAGAAATACATGATATGATAAAATAATAGCCACCAAGAATCGAGGCTTGGGTTTGAATACGTTCGACGCACCACGGCAGCGTCTTTCGTCTAACGAAGAATGCAAAGGAGAATGGATCGCTCAATGGCTTCTTGCTCAGAGTAGTTCAGAGCGAACGCTGAAGCTTCTATTCTCGACAAGAGTCCAAATTCGTTCAAAAATCGGATGATGCTGGCGGATGATGGCTCAGTTCTATCAGCAAGAGACTCTTTAACATAACTCTCTGGTCCGACAAACCAGCGGAGCTAGTCTAACCACCAATGGTGAATGCTCTTTAAAAAAATACAGTTAAGTTGCCAGCATCACTCAAATTTTTGAATGACAGGTCCTGCATGGATTAAGACCTCTGTATGGGCTCTCTGAATTGATTAATGACCCGCTGAACCATTATATTCTCCTTTGCTTCCGCTGTTCGGCGATATGCAACTAAGCATAGCATGGTGCGGTATGAATTCGAGGTATTCTCTGTTCGCCATCAACGTATCTTTGATATGAATTTGTTTTTTTTGCTGTTATAAAGCTCAAAATAGCGTTTTACGAGCTAGCAATTTATGATAGAAATGTGCACAAATCACGCATTTATAATCAAAATTCATAAACTTTTAGAAGTAAATTTGACAAGGGATTTAATTTTTGGGGTTATCTTTCTAAAATTCGCGGAAACTATACAACTATTATTACAACTAACTATACAACTATTATTTAAGTATCCATGCCTTTGAATCGGTAGAGATGGAAAATTTTGGAAATTAGGGAATTTTATAAATTATATTATACGTGCTACAAAAATCCACATAGGGCATATTAAAATTTTTAAACTTCATAGAATCCCAAATTTT